ACTCTGAATGAACGTGCCAAAAGTATGAGGATACATACCGGCTTGTCCAAATTTCTATGGGCTGAAGCTATCAATACTGCAGCTTACCTGATCAATCGTGGGCCCTCAGTTCCCTTGGATGGTTGAATACCAGAGGAATTTTGGAGCAAGAAAGAAATAAACCTTTCACACTTAAGAGTGTTTGGTTGTATTTCTTATGTACATATAAATTCTGCTGAAAGAAGTAAACTTGATTCCAAATCCAACAAATATATCTTTGTTAGTTATGGTGGTGATGAGTTCGGTTACCAGTTTTGGGACTATGAAAATTGGAAGATCATCAGAAACAGAGATGTCATTTTCAATAAGAATGTGATGTACAAAGACATGTCAACCATATAATCAAGTAGCTCTAACACCAAAGCTGAAACAAAGGAATTTGTTGAGTTTGAGGAGATTTCTGGAAATGATGTTCAGATCAGTCCTAAAGTAATTCAAGAAGAACCAGGCACACCAGAACTGAGACGTTCCTCAAGAATTCCTAAACCAACCCAGCGTTATTCGCCTTATTTGCACTACTTGTTATTGACTGACAATGGTGAACCAGATTACTATGATGAAGCAATTCAGGTGGAGGATTCAGTCAAGTGGGAGTCTTCCATGAAAGATGAGATGGACTCGCTTATGTCAAATCAGACGTGGGAATTAGCTGAATTACCACCAAGCAAGAAAGCGCTCCACAACAAGTGGATTTACAGGATCAAAGAAGAGCACGATATGAGGAAACGCTACAAAGCAAGATTGGTTATCAAAGGTTTTCAGCAAAAAAAATATATTGACTACAATGAAATTTTCTCTCCAGTCGAAAAATTGTCTACAATTAGACTGGTGTTGAAAATTATAACTGCAGAAAATCTACATCTTGAGCAGTTAGATGTAAAGACAACTTTCCTCCATGGTGATTTGGAGGAAGAAATCTATATGAGACAGCCAGAAGGCTTCATAAAGGAAGACAAGAAAAACCTGGTATGCAGGTTGAAGAAGAGCTTGTACGGTTTAAAACAAGCTCCTAGATAGTGGTACAAGAAGTTCGATAGTTTCATAAGTAGCAGTGGTTTTACCATATGCCAAGCATATCATTGTTGCTACATCAAGAAGTTCGACAACAACTTCATTATTTTATTGTTATACGTTGATGACATGCTCGTTCCAGGCTCAGACATGCAAGAGATTATAAACTTGAAGTAAAAATTGTCGAAGCAGTTTGCAATGAAAGATCTGGGCGCCGCAAAGTAGATTCTTGGGATGAGGATCAAGAGAGACACAGAGTCAGGGACTTTGATGTTATCACATACTGAGTACATCAACAAAGTACTCTCCAGGTTCAACATGCAAGATGTTAAACCAGTAAGTACACCTTTAGTTGTTCATTTTAGACTCTCCAAAGAACAATCACCAAAGACGGAGGAAGAACGTGCACTCATGGTGAAGGTGTCGTATGCCTCAACAATTGGAAGTCTGATGTATGCCATGGTTTGTACTTGACCAGATATTGCTCATGCAGTAGGAGTTGTTAGCAGGTACATGAATAATCCGGGCAAGGTACATTGGGAAGTAGTCAAATGGATCCTCAGATATCTGCAAGGTACCATAAACAAAGCACTTTGTTTCAAAGGTGGAGATATGATACTGACATGCTATGTAGATGTTGACTTAGCCGGAAATGTTGACATCAGAAGAAGCACTACAGGGTATGTCTATACTCAAGGAGGTACCGTAGTGAGTTGGGTTTCTCAACTATAGAAGATAGTTGCTCTCTCCACAACTGAAGTAGAATATGCCGTTGTTACAGAAGCCATCAAGGAGATGGTTTGGCTCTAAATTTTCTTGGAAGAGTTAGGCAAGAAACAAGAAAACAATGTCTTGTATTGCGATAGTCAAAGTGTTATCCATCTAACAAAAAAATCGTCTTTTCATTCCAGGACGAAGCACATACAATTGAGTTATCATTTTATACTCTCTCTTCTGGAAGATGTGATTTTGAAACTTGAAAAAATTAGTGGAGCTCAAAATCTGGCAAACATGTTAACAAAGCGGTGACTACAGACAAACTGAAGTTGCGTTCAGCTTCAGTTGGCATGCTATAGTAACAAGAGCAGAGATTCTCCTGCATTGATCGAGGTGTGAAGACAGATTAAAATCAGTCTTCAAGTGGGAGATTGTTGAAACTTAAAAGTCAAGAAGAAGGGCTGAATGGGTTAAAAAGGGGGTAGGGGCACCGAATTTGGTGCCCAATTTTTTGGTGCCCAATTTTGTTAAAAATGATAATTGGGATTTTTGCACTTTAGTCCCTATACTTTAGGGTCTTTTCAAAGATTAGTCCTAAGCTTCAACTATAATTACCCTTGCCCATTTAGCTTCAAATCATCTCAAATCATTTCTTTCTCCCAATACTAAAGAGTTTAGAGAATTTTCTTGTGAGTTGTAAGTGTTTTGTAAACACCTGTAAAATTTCTCTCTTTAGTAAAAGATCTGCAGTAGTCTGGAGACGTATGCATAATAGGCTGAACTCCGTTATCAATTTCAGGTATTATTTTTTTGTTTTTATTTCGCATTCTCACTAATCTGGTTATCGGGAAATTATTCGTTTATTTCCCAATATTTTTACACGTTTTGTTATTTAAATAATAAAAAAACCGATAGCGCCCTTTTTTAGCTGTATATTAAAGGTGCCCCACGTGAACATTTCTAGTAGAGCTTAGATTGGTGAATTGTGGTATAAGTTGGCATTTAGATTACATTGGATTAGTGGGTGCTTTGATGCCTGATTGGGCAACAACATCTAATATCAAATAATTGAGATTTATTTTTAAATAGATATTATTTTATACTTATTATAAATTAATAAAACTATTGTAAAAGAAGAACCAACTTTTCTCTCCTTTATGATATATAATATGAATATCACCATTGCAACACATATTAGGAATACAACAAACCTAACAAAATTACATAATGTTGAGTAATCCTACATTTCATCGTTAGGATAGGAAAATAAAGACACATGAAGATGAAATTATCGTCACATCCCGCACTTCAAAACAGAGACGAGTATATCTTTAAAATAAACGAGAGACCTTAAAGTATAAAAGCAATTATATTACAAATAGTATATCTTGACCTAGACCTTGACCTCCAACATTGAAGTATTGTAATTTGTAGGTGATGCTTTATAAGTAATGGCTACCATACTACGTTTACAGGGATATGCAAAGTAATGGTTGATTGACTTGAAGTAGTCCCAACCAATTGTGAGCAGCCTGAAAGAGGTTGCCCTCCAAGTGACGATTGATTGCTGCATTAGGTGTCCACAAGGAACTCTTGTATGACGCAAGACCAAAAACTGGCAATGGCATCACCGGAACACCATCCATGTCATTGGGACATGTGACCACCTAAAATATTTTGAGAGAAAACGACAGATGGAGTTTCTCAGCCATTACATGGGTTCTAATGGAACTTGGGCAAGTATAAATTTGTTGATGGTGAAATTTGGATTATGATTACTATGAGTCTATGAGCAATTCACCCTTTCATTTAGGCAGGGAGTCGTAATCAGCAGTTTTAGAAATTCCAAATTTTTTCAACAAACATATCCTTGGTTCACACACATTAGAAAGAAAGAAATTCCAAATGGTATTCTTTACTACCTCCTACTGGCGTATGAAGATAATAGTAAGTCAGAAAGCAAGCATCTAGATCCTTTAACGTAGGTCCAGTAGGTATTCTGTAAATTGGATACGCTGTAAAAGAGGGAGGCAGAATGAGAGAAATGCATACCAACCTTGTCAGCCAAAGGTGGTCCGCTACATGGGGGGTCTCGTTCAAAGTACTAAAAAAATCAAACTTCTGTGAGAATTGACAGATTCAACCTCATCACTGGATAAGTCTTCTTGAAGTATCTGCTCATATCCCATGGAAGCAACTCAAGTTCATAAATAATATTTAATACAAAGCAACTGATACACTTCAAAACTATTACCATAAACACACAGATAGCTTAGATTGTGCTTGGCATTTTTGCATTAAATAGGAACTGGGACACAAGACAAACAATTTGCAACATAAGGGAGATAGATATAATTCATCAAGTAAAGACCTTATTTTCACTTTCCCAGAAAATGCTATGATCAATCTATCCATGGTTATTGGTTACTGTCAAAAACTGAGAGTCTGAGCAAACATTGTTGTTGCTTCCTGTTCGCTCGGATACTGTTACACCAACGACCATTGCAAATCAGTTCACAATCCATAGTTATCCTTTCTAACTTGTATTAATTTTACAAGAATTAAATAGGGGGAAAACATCCAATAGCAAAAGTAGAGCAAATCAACTAAACTTTTGTCTATTAGTAAAATATGTATATATATTGACTTATATTAATAAATAAAAATTAAAAATTACTTCAGCTATTAATAAAAAAGATATTATAAATTATGTTCAAATATATAATTTAAATCAGTAGATAAGGTAATCTCATCCTTACTTAGAATCCTAGGTTTGAATCTCTCAATTAACATTTTTTTTGTCATTAACTATGTAACATATATAGAAATTATTGTAATATGTTATCAAATTGTAGACTTGGTCGAAATGCGTATACTCTCTCCAGTTCATACGATTGTTAATTTGTTAAAAGAAAGGAACGTGATTGAAACATATGAATAATTGAATGATTATTTTATATCATTTAATAGTTAAATGACTTAACAGGACAATATCGTATAATTAAATAATTATTTTAACTTTCTCAAATAATTTACAAATTATTGTGGTATAATTGCTACACTATTTATATAGTTTATCCGTTTATATAAAATACATCAAAAGTACGGAGGTATAAAATAATTATAGAAGTGATTGGGCTTCTCATTTCCAGATCTCCAAAGTAGTTTGATTTTAGAATTTTCTCGGAAAATGCACCCACGATGCCTCTTTTCATCTCTTCCAAGGAAAAGAAAATTCGATTCAAAGGATTCACTTTTGAAAGTGTAGGGAAAAGAAAAAGCATGCAAAAGATGCCAAAGAAACAGAGAAATCTCCAACATCAGATTCTTTTCTTTTGCTTTGAAGCAAACCGACCCTCCCAATCATTCAGCCAACTTTCAAATTCCAAACCCTCCCAATCACTTCACTTGCATATATTTAACAACGAAAGAATAAGAGGGAGGGGGTAACTTGAACCAAATATGACGACGCTGCAGAAATTCAAGCTATTAGCGACGCACTGCGGCGTCACCCAAAGCCCAACGAGAAGTCCAAGGACGAGTCCCCTCGTCAACTTCCGTCGCCCCAAAACCACATTGCGAATGCTCCTCACCAGAACCGGTAGTCGGAAATCATCAAACACTCCGCAGAGTTTCTCCGGCATTCCGGCCGAGAAAAAGAAGGGCAACGGTCACAGTTTGAAGGATTTATTTGTATCATCTCCGTCGCTAGAAGGAGATGGCAACGAATGTAAAACCGTCGAGGATAAATTTGGCGGAAAGGGTGAAGTAGTTTTAGCGACGAAAGTCGGTGGTCTTAATGGACTAGGAGGTGAACCGGGATCGCCTAGGCCGGGTTGGATGGGGTTCAGGCATCGGATGCTGTTGAGGAAAGCTTGGCGTCCCACGCTTCAGACAATCCATGAGTAGTTTTCTGCTCCTTTTTGTTATTATGTAGCCAAATTTTTCATTTTACTTTTGGATTTGCGTTAGGCGTTTAAATCTCTTCTTAAACGCACATGTTATGTGAACAAATTAATCAGTTCAGTTGGCTTATTTGGTTTCAATGAAAATTTTGCTTTTTATTCAATCTAGAATGCACCCAAAATTCATCATCATCATCAAAACCACCTACCAGCTATTTTCCACGAATAAGTTGCGCTGAAACTTTCGTCACAGATGCTATATCTGTCAAAGATACATTTCTTTTACGCTATGCACTATGAAAACTTTCATTTTTTAAGTTATAATTGATATAATATTTTCATATGTATTTAGCCGTTGACATAATATCTACCCCGTCACCAAAAGCGATGAGTTCACATACACGACATTACTAGGAATAGAAACACAACATTACTGGTACATGGTGCTAATCTCACACGAATCTCTACAGTAGGGGGGGAGGTCATTAACTACATTTAGAAAATTATTAAAGACCATTGCATTCACATACAATTATTCGGGGCACCAACAGTCGTCAAATACTAACAATGAATATGCTGCACAACAAGGAAGATCTACTTGAATCCACTCAATCTCATAGCAGATGAGAAAAGAAACAGTAGATCATTATGTATCATAAAAAATATATTTAAAAAAAGTTGGACTGATTGATTATTGCTTATAATAACCACTTTGGTGGGGATGATACGGAATTGGAACGGTATATGGAGGTCGGGGAAGAGACCCAGGTTGCTCCGCAGGGGCATTATAATATGGCCCACACCACCCAGGATAGGCAGGTTGACCATAGTCATGTCCGACTGGTGCACGTTGTTGGCATGTTGGGGAGGATAAGGAGCAGTGGTAGATGGAGGAACATGGTAAGGAGGCGGTTGCTGTGGAACAGTATAAGGGGGAGGAGGATGACCATACCCATGCATTGGCTGCTCGGGGGCCTATAGTAAGGATTTTGTGGTGAAGGATGTGGCATACTCTGGTTCTGTTATCTGCCATGGACTAGATCTTGGCGTCGGACGGGGCTGTCCAACTGAAGGGTATGGACCTGCGCTCTCACGTTCTTGAAAGCTGAAACCCGTCATTTGCCTTTGAACATCTTCCATCATTTCTCGGCACTGGATGTTTCGAGTCATGAAATCGCTGCATTGCTGCTTGATATTATTGATTGCACCCTGTTTAAACAAAAGAAGCAACTTAATACATATGCATATGCCACATTATTGAATCGACTTTAAAATGATGCCTAAAGTAATAACGTACAATTTCTTACCTGAAGAGTAACATAAAACTTCAGTCCCTCGTTAATATTGTCCTTGATCTCTTTACACTTTGCTAAAGCAGCTTGAATTTGTTTGTAACACTTCTCTCGTGATGCTGAAACAAAAAAAGTGAAATAAAACATTAAACCACTGATCTTGTTAGAAAATCAATACAAAGTGTGCGACATCAAAACTTAAGACTCAGATGGCCATACAAACCATTGCACTAAACAATGAACATGACTGATTAACAAATTGAACATGTTTATCCACAAGCGGATTTAATCCACCACCATGTGTCCTTAATTAATATTAAATAAACAATTAAGGACACATGTTGCCTGTTGGTGGATCAAAGCTGCTTGTGGAGAAAGAAACTTCATCGCTAGTGTATCAAAAACTGCAATGTAATAAGAATTTACATATTTAGACAAACTATATTATACAGATATAACTATAACATCTTCAGTATAGCTAGACACGTCAAGCACAAAAAGTTAAATGTATGCATATGAGGTTCCATCAAAAAGATGATGATGATGATAATAATAATAATAATAATAATAGTAGTAGTAGGTTTAATCTCAAATATACATGAAAAGAGACATGTACCTTTATAATATTCAAGATTAAAGACAGCACCGAATTCTTCATTCTGAGCCTGCAGAAGGCAAATTAATAAAATAAAAACCAGTGCCAATCATTCAGGGTTCATTTCCTATTTCCTAATAATAATAAAAAATGAAAATCTAAAATCATAGCCTTAGAAGCTGAAAGAAACTACAATACCATGCAGATTAACTTTATGTAGGACTAAAGTTGATGCATCCGAGACTCTCTATCCTTATATATTTACCAGAGGAAGAGAACGAGAAGAAGAAGAAGAAACTGAGGGAGAAAGAAGGAATCTTTCATTTAAATTATTTTTCTTAAATAAAAGAAAAAGGCTTATGGAAGACCCAAAAGAAGACATATTTATAAAATTCTCCAATAAATGCACTCGTGTTCACCAAAGTTTCTCTCTTTTTCCTTTTTTTTATATTCACAAGAAATAATTCATTTCATAAGGCATGAAAGCTCATTTAAATAAGTTTATAATTCAGTGTGAAGGATACGGAGTTAGTATATGCAACCAGCCACATGGAGCAAACAACACAGCCACCCTCGGAAAGAACGGCTCAACAATTGTTTCAAAACACTAAACGCTAATGTGGTGAAACTGAAAATCCAAATGAGCAGGGAAGAATGGAAAAGAAGAGATGATTAGACCTGAATTTGCATCAACAATTGTTCTTGTGCCTCAATGTTTTGGGCAATTTCCTCACAAATATGATCATACTTCGCTATCTCCTTCCTGAAAAGATCCTCATAGGAGCCAGTTGAAGTCATCAACTTGGGTAGTATGTCATCCTCCACCAATTTATCATGTAAGACTACTGAAGTTTATGATAAATGCCAACAATTCAGCAAAGAAATCAATAACTAGAAGAAAAAAGAGATTACATAAATGAGCATTATTATGATCATTAAATAAAACTTCTATGCTAATATGGAGCCTGAAAGATCTAACAATAACAAAGAGAAAGCTTGAGGTAAGGAAATTGCCCGACAAGACAAATTTGATGCAATCATATCTAAAACAAAATTACAACAAAACCAACATGAATCCCCTTCCACAATACAATCAGCAAAACAAAGAACAATAGTGAGAAAATCAACATTGAATTATTTTCCCTGGTTAATTGTTCTGGTTGTCCAATAAAAGAAAACCAAAAATTGTTTTCGTCCTCACAGATCAAAACATCTCATTTTAATCCTCACGTTCCTCATGTTTCCAATTTGAATCTAACATGCCCTCTGAGTGTGGAACAAGATGGAAAGAGATGTTAACCAGTGTCTTGTAATTCATTGTATGAGTATTTTATTATTTATACAAAAGAAAGGAGCACAAAAACAAGGGGGAATCTTTTCTGTTGATTTTATTTTTTTCATTTGCTGTTCAATTTCAAGTCTCTTTTTCAGATGCTTTCACATACATCATTAGTCCCCAACAAGCCTGGTGGCCTAGAGATCATTCTTTTGAAGAATCTCTTGCACTGCAGACATGGGTACTAGTGAGTCGAGAACAGACATTGTTGGGTCATACCAACCATCAGGCATCATTGTCACACAGCAAGACCATGGATTTCAGCCCCAATATAGGTTCAAAGCAAATAATGATTTTCAAAAATAGAAGGGAAAGAAGAAATGTGAAATAAAACCAGAAAACCTCATTTCCCATTTGCCTATAAGCTCGACAACACAATTTGAAATACCAATAATCTCACATTTGAAACTTATATCTCTCAAAGAAACACTCCATCAAACACCTTCAAAGAATCATGTGACCCACATTAGCCATGCATAAACTCAAGTTTAGTTCCAAAAAACACAGATTCTACCACAAATCAAGATTTTATCACACGAGTAAATTTACATCTTTGAAAAAGGAGACGTCTTGCTTGCACAAATTTCAAGCAGCGAATAACTCTCCACTTGTCTGGACATTTGTTTAGATCTTGTTTGTGACATGTTTCTTTTTTCTTTTCAGGTTCCAAAAAGAAAGAAAAGGACAAATAAAAATACCAATTCAAAGTTTATCATACAATGCAGCCTGAAGGAAATAGCAAGACCAAGTGAAATCAAAGGGGTGTTTCTAATGACCAAACAAGAAAAAACAAAAAGTTGAGAAATGATATTTACACTTTAGATAGTGAGAGCAAGCGGGGCTTGTTGATCAAAACATTGGCACAAAGAGTGCAAAAAAAGAAAAGAAAATAGGAAGGCATGGCAACCAATGAACCGAACCAAACGATATTGCAAAAAATACCATGCAGAACGAAAGTATGAGGTGCTGGAGGCGAAGAGACATTGGTGAGAAAGGAAGGCACTTGAATTTTTATTTTATTTTTTGTAAAAGAAGATGTAAACCCAAATGGCCAGCCTCTTTCGCTTTGCTTTCAACTAACAAAATTTAATATAATTATGCAGAGAAGTGAAAGTATTTGTGCTTGGAAATGTAGGACAAGTTCAGGTTCAATTTCATGGATGGGGCAGGGGCAGCACATCTCTCTCTATCATTTGGAAGGAGTAATAACATTTCGTAACAAAAGTGTCAAGGACAGGAGGCATGGATATAATCCTAGATGGATAGATCATAGATGTAGTTAAATGATCCTCCCCCACCCAGGAAACATATAAGAAGATTTTCGCTCAAAGGGCTAAAATGAAGATTACAAGTTAATTTGCATAGGGAATTATATTGTGTTAGACACCCTTCAGGTACCATTTAGAGAAAAAAGTAGTAGAACGGAATGCCTAAATGCACTGGTTAAGGTGATATATATAAAAAAGAAAAGAATGCAGAAGATTCATATCACAAACAGTTAACTACACCTTTCTTTTCATCTCTTTAAGCATGTCCTCAAGGCCTGCCCTCTGAGCACCAAGAGTCTCTAGTTGCCTCTGCAAATAAAATAAAAGTAGATATTAACCATGTTATAAACATAAAAATAGAATTCTGTTTGAGTTGTAAAACAAGAAAATGACAATGAGTTAATGACTTGCATAGTAGCTTAAGGGTGCAAAAGTAATATCATATAAAATAACACTTCCCACTTTTTCCATTTCTGTTTTTTTAGCCTTGGGATAAGGGAACTTGAAAGGGTAATTGTAGAGTAAATATTCAAGATATTTGGATTAGAAAATAGGTTACCAAACTCTGCTTCAGGTCCCCGACTATAGCATCTTCATTGGCATCCAAAGACATTATTGGCCTTGAAAGACTTGGTA